CTTCAACTCCCAGAATTCCCCAGCCAGCACGCTGGCTGGGGAATTCTGGGAGTTGAAGTTCAGACATCTTTAGCCAAGGCTGAGAAACACTGCTATATAGCCATTCATGATCCCACTTTAAGTACCAAGAATGTTAGTCTTTAAAGGCATCTTTTTTACAAGGCTGTCTAGTGTGGCTGCTGAATAATCCTTGACAATTGCTAATTTTTATATCAGCAATGAATGCCTAAGGTTTCTACTACTTATTACAGCCCTAATAGCTTCCAAGTTCCTACTATGCATTCCACTTTTATGAGGTATCTCGCCATGATGCATTTACTCTTCTGTCCAATACAGATTCAAAAAGACTTTTGGGGGGACTGCTTTCTGTGTTCAGGCTAAAGAAGGTGGATCAAGTAGAGAATTCAGAAAAGGCTCAGGACTCACTCAGTTGTAATCTTAAATTGCAGGCCTATGTATCTTTGCTCAGAAGTCTCATGTTCAACAGACCTTCCCAGGTCAATACTTTTAACTATCATTTCACGCACACACACTCCAAAGAACCATAAAAGTAATTTATACAGAAGTGAGACTGTGGCAATATTCTGTTGATACTGTATTTTCAACTCAACCAACCACTAATATGAGGAAGAAAATGATAGAAACCATCTTATTTCCCAATGCCTTTATTTTCCTCTGCAAAGTAGATTATTCTCACTGATTATTCTCACATCTGTCTCCTATAAGAGGGAAAGTGCAATTATCTTTTCATTTATAAATGAAATTTTAATGGATGTAAACAGGGCAGTGGGAACTTACTAGTAGAAGCTGGGTGGGTGGGGGGACATGCCTGCATGTTGCATTTATTTAATGTCACGGGGATTTCCCCAACCCTTCCAAAGGGAATTGTAGTTGAGAGAGAATTCTTACTGATTTGTTAGTTTCAGCAATAGAGGGGCTGCCTACAAATTGCACCAAGTGGCATCTTTTAAAAAGATGCACATGGAAGTGTTCAAACGAGTACGAGGCAAACCTTTCCAGCCTTTTAAGACGAAGAGGAGTGTGGTGTGTGAAAAGGGAAGCACACCAGAAATTGGCAATTTTAGAAACATCCAAGGAACATTTCGGTCCCACCCCACCCCTTCATCTTTCCCTCCATGGCAACTGTCCATGAACTGAACAGTGGGAAAGGACACATAGAAGATCTGATTCAGAATTATCTCAGACTGCTCAAGACTTGGCAGATCCTACACCAGAAAGCGTTGAGGATTTTCATCCCAGCTTTCCTCAGGAGAATCTCTAGATTGGTCCAGGGTGCCGCCAACAGAAGCAAAGCTGATGGAGCCCAAGAGGATGGAGGAACCACAGATCTGCTCCTCCCCAGGCAGGAAACCCAGACCTCTCTGCTGGCGAAAGGCCTCCCTCGACTGGGTGAAATGAGCAGGACCTGTTTGTGGCACTGTTTGGAAGGATCATCGCACTGCGCAGCAGTCCTGAACTTCTGTCTGGGATCCGTAAGATGCATTGGCTCCCTGCAAAAGAAAAGGCAACGTTTAGAACAGGAAAAACCAATTCAGATTGAAATTTTCTCCCAAGCTGGCAGATTAGCAGTTAACAGTAACTGGATCACTCATTAAGAGAAAATATTTTAGGTTCTCAGCAAACCTGACCCAACCCCATTTTTGCTTAGCATGATAGCTAGACCCATTCAACGTCTCTTTCTCACAGACAGATAGACAGACAGACAGGAGAATTATAATTCTCAGGCTATCTGGGGAGAACACAAGTGATTCCACTGCCACGTTTGCAGTTAACTTTCTATATTTCTTCAGAAGGCAAAAAGTAAAACCCACAATGAGGGAAAAATGCTTTCAGTTGAGAGTGGTTTAGGTCCAAACCCCAAACCCTATAAAACAGATGGGAAGTGGCAAACTTACCAATTCATAATCTTCAACATATTTGTATTTCTTTTCTCTGTAATAATATCTTTTCTTCATCAAATACAGGACAATGATATCACAGAGGACAGTGGCCTAGATGAGATTTCAAGAAAGTTCTTTTAAGAAATGAAATTTTCCAAAAACCAGGGAATTTTCCAAAAACTGCCCAGGAAGAAGAAAAGAAGGCCCTTACCACACCAAACAGGGCCAAGCCAGATCCAATATTGATCATAGTAGGGATGATATCAAATTTTCCAGCCTAAGACATGTGAATAAAAGCAAATAATTCAGGCATATCTCCTTAAGAACATGGCAGAGATCATCTCTACACTGCTGCTGATTCACACAACACACTAAAGCCATCTTCTGACTTGTTGCCACTTAGCGTGCGTGAGTCTATTGATTGGGGTTTATGTATCATGATTAATGGCTTAGAGCAGTGTTTCTCAACCCGAACAGCTTTCAAGGGTATAGACAAGTGACAAAACTTTATATAATTTCCAAAAACCTTACATTGCCGAATACCATAATGTCAAAGCGGATGCCGTAGGCCTTGATGAGTGTCCGGTAGTCTTTGTTGGGAGGCATCTGGTAATATTTTGCGAACCTGAACCAGGGAAGGAAGGAAAAATCCAATCCAATGATTATGAAATTGTCAGGGCAACATTTCTATGGTAGGAATGTGGCCAAAAATAAAAACCACCTAAAACGCTCTGCCCTTCCAAGATTTGTGGCGCATTTATGTGTATCACCAACAGCTTCATATTTATTTTTCCTACAAAATAACTTCCTTCACAGTAACAGTCTAGTCAATTATAGAATCATCTGCTATAGTCATACAAGATAAAAACACTACAGAGCTGCTCAAAGCAGCTTCCCCCAGTTACAACGAACTCATGAATAAGTTTTACATGAATCTAGCAGCATTTCACCAACTCTGGCCCAAAACAATAAAAATCAGGTGAAACCATTTGTCGGACCTAAAATTCTCACTCAGTAAAAGCATCTGCACTTGGTGTCAAAATGAAATCAGCCTCTGGAGCCAGTAAACCACCCAGCCGGGGTGTCCCACCACCAGATTCCAATTTTAGCTGCCCGAACTGCTTTACCTGAAGTTGTATCCTGGAGAAACGGTGTGAGCAGTATCCTTGTTGTCAATACGGCGAAAGGAATACTTTGGCACACAATGAGAAGCAGACTTGTCTAGGTCACAGTCCCATCGGATCTGCAGTCCCATCACACCACCCTGCAGATTGGAAACGATGGGTTTGATTCACAGTTGGGGAAGGACCATGGACTGGGTCAGAGACCTCCAGCAACTCTTTGGATGGCCATGGGACAGTCTTAATATTTTGGAAAACTGAGGGCTACAAAGTGGGATGACAGCTTATGGGGAGAGCTTGGAGGGTGTCAGTTAAAAAAAAACACATCTACTTTACAATGTTACATTACATTTTTTGTCAGTCTCCCAATCTGTAATATTAGGAAATTACTGTCAGGTTTTTGGAAATCATGTTGGGTGAAGCTATCTGGTCTATAAAAATGCAGATGACCATACAAAGACTTGCTGTTGGTCAATGTTGATGATTCTGCTGGATGAGAAGATCAGCTGGAGGGGTTATTAAATTTTCTCATGGGTGAACTCAGCAGTTGTAGCTTGCAAACCACGGTTATTGCTTTAACATAAAAAGTGAACTCAAGCAAGTATATCTTTTCAATATGATATGGTTAAGCAAGCAATTTCCTATCCAATTCATGGCCAATTTTTACTCCACATTACAAACTGGAGATTGCAGCAAAACAAAACAAACCAAAACTAAAAAAGGGATAAGTGGTTGGCATAAAGTATTCTTAGAGCAGTTATCTTCCAGCGACTTCCCAATCTTTGTAATAACAGCCTTTTAGAAATGCAAGCAGGAAAACACAACATTTTTCTTTCTAGTCCAAAATCAAACAAAAGATAAGTTAATAAAACACGGCTGCATTCTAGCAGGCGCCCCAAAAGGTAAATATTTGCTCATTTCAACAAGTGGTAATACCTAGCTGACCTTGGCAATCTCAGAAACTAAGCATTTGAGACCACTGAAGAAGCCTAAGGTGGTAGGCTAGGCTGGGAAATCGAAAGACCGTCCCTGAAGAAGGAAAGGAGACAGTGGAACCAGTCTGTTATCAAGAAAATGGCACAGAAGCAGTCACCAAGTGCCAGGCTTGACTTGAGGGCATATTTATTTACCCCTTCTAGTAAATAACTGTCAGCCATACAGCGCTTGTACAAACTGCTAACCAGCTGCTATGGTTCAAACATGCATGTTTCTCACAGGAAGAAAAGGACATATTAAACAGGACCAAAGGCCACCATCCTTGATCACCATCCTTGACTAAACGCATGTCTGGTTTTCGCTGAGAGCTGATCACTCCAAATTTCAGGGAATTTGGTGGTCGGCTCTGAATTCATTTAAAAGTCAATAAAACACATCAAGCCGTAAGTGCTGCCTTTGGCAGAAGCTGTATAGACACAAGTCAAATGAAATTCTTCTTCCTTTCCTTTCCCAACACACTTTTCGACCAACCTCAACTGCCATCTCTTGGAAGTTCTGCCCGGCAGCTTCAACCATGTCCTGGAGGCGGAAAATGGGGCAAAAGGGGTCCGTCTTGGCATCGTATTTGCAGTTCTTGAGGTACGTTTGATTGATGGTGGGGAGAATGTTTCGCCTGGGAGAGAAAGGAATAGGTTTCTGGGCTTACGTTCCCTGAAGGAACCCATGTTCAGGTGCTTTACTAAATGCTGGGAGGGCTGTTAGTTTGGCCTGATGCCTGGGCAAAACTCTTAACAGTGGAATAAAGATTGTAAATCATCAGGCTGTAAAATCGACTGGCTATGAGCCCATGGCAGCTTGGCCACACAGCCAGTATTTACTGAGAAAATTACTTTATATTCAAACACTGGACAGTTGTGCAGTTCCTCCACTCCCCTGTGTCTCTTTACTTTCAAGTAACCCCAGTGCAGTTCTGTACGGGTCATCCTCTCTAGTACTGCACACCCCTCTCCACAAACCCCTTTCTCACCGCCTCAGGTATCTGTCCTTTTCATCAAAATAGTACCATGTCCGATGGAGCCATTTGGCATAACACACCTAACCCCCCAAATTTCTCCCCCCCCCCGAGTCCCATTCCAGCCAAGAGAGACAAATAGTTCGGGAAGGGGAAAAAAATACACATACTTTGTAAAGTTGAACTTTGGGTACCAGATGTTGTTCTTCACAAGGAGGGTAAAGTTCTCAGCATCCTGAAAGAAAGCTGGCCTGGAGGAGATTGAGCAAAAGAGAGAGAAGTGAAAGAAAAAGATTATTTGGAAAAAGGTTCAATTTCTTATAGCCAAAGTTGAATTCCTACCCCACCGCTTGCCCATAAAACACCCTGATTTTAAACCCAGCATCACCTCTTCAGAAAGGACGTTAAGATCAAATGAGATATAAGGGCTGAGTTTCCATATAACCCAAAACCAAGATCTGTTTTAATTCACTTTTACTGAACAAGCCACAATCAATGTTGCAAAACAGCACGGACATATTTGGACAGTTCTCGATTTGTTTCTTCTCCATTTTTTCCCTGCTAGTACCTAAGCGAGATTCAGATATAAGCCAGGGTTCTGATTTCAGACATAAAGGCAAGGAGCAGTTCAAACAACCTAAATTCCTCACCCAAACGAAGGCTTCACAGAATAAATTCTGCTTTGTTGCTCAGGTGGATCTGGATATCTAAATAAGCTAAATTATTTCCTGACCTAGGGTTCTATGCGAACCGTTGAATGAATGTAATGTTTAAAAGATTTCTCAATGCTGGAACACAGGGCAGGTTTGTAGATGTTGATCTTAAAGCTTGGACAAGCTCCCACGGGTGCAGATGATTCTTTAGATAACTCCATAAAGCTCTGGACACTTAAGGCTTGATAAACCTGGTCTAGCTAGACCAACGGTTTTAACTCAATAACAGGTTCATGTGCTAAGCTGCAATGTGGTTTGTTAGGTTTTACATCAGTATGTTGTGTGACCCCAAGCTAGCTTGGAACCAGACTTTAATGGTGCAGTCTGACTTGTGAACCCAGCCAATTCTGGCTTATTCATTAAGCCATAATTGAGCAAGCCATGACTTAATGCATGATATGTAAACCAGGACAATATAAGGTCAGTTCATTGTTATATACATTTACACCTCTGGGCCTAGAAAATAAGATGGGAGGCAAAGATAGTTGAACCAGCAGGCACCATCAAAACTTTAGAGAAAATTCAGCAAGATGCTAATTCTAGGAAGAGATGTCTTCCAGCACTCCTCCACATCTGGCATTGCCTCTCTCTTCCTTCTTATTCCTACTCCCATCAGATACTCACTTGGGTACATTCTCATCATTTTCCACCGGACACCAAGCAAAGACCTCGCAAGTTTTGATGGAGGGATTTGTAAGGTTGTACACTCTACACTTTCCAGTCTGAATACCTGAAGGGATACAGAAAGGAAGTTATAAAATTGGAAGGCAGATGGGGATCATCTCAATATCGCAAATGTGGGGTGGGGGAGGGAGAAAGCCTTAGGCTTCACCCCATGGTGGGTAATGAAATGACCCTCCCCATACTAATGTAATTCCATGACATCTCTTCTGAAACTCCAGACAGTAGCCTCTGTTCAGTTCTGTTTCACATTTTCACCAATTTCTTAACAGCAACATCACATGTTTTTTGCTGGTCATCTCCTATCTGAAGAAGCTTTTAAGGGAAGGGGAGAACCTCAAGATCAAAAACATGACTCGTACCATTGCTGTGAGTGCCGACATAGCCTTTTTTGCAGTCTGCATCTGACTGACACATGGTGGTCTTATCTGGGAGCTGGAGAGGAAGAGCAGTCAAGAGATAAATAGAAAAGAATGTTTATCTGCTCTGCCTGTACAAAGGTCTCTTCCAATGCACTGCAGACCTTGGCTACCCGTGCTTTGGAAATAATTGCATGGACACACCAAAAAAAGCAAAGAGTTAAAAGTTATTCTGCTAAGCATGGATTTATTGAAAGCAGCCAAAGAAGCTGAAGAGAGGATCCTCAGAAAAGGATCCAAATTCTGCAACCTGTACAGATTATGCATTTATCCATTTATCCATACCTTTGCATATTGTCCTGGTACATGCAAGGCGGCTAACATCTGGGATGTAGATCAGATATCATTTCCTACCCCTTTCCAACCTCTGCTCACAAATTCACAGCCACGCTTTAGTTTTTCAGAGGAAAGATACATGAAACCTGAAGATCAGCAACTGTCACTGAGCCTACCTCTGGACAAAGCCCTTGGGTCTGATTCAGCGTGATGATCAAGTTTGTCATGATGAAAACAGAGTTCTCAGCCTAAATAGAGGAAGGAAGCAGGGTGGAAAAATTAATTTAAATAGTGAAGTTGTTTGATCTGGAGTGAAACCCTTTTCAAGAAGAAATTGCAACGTTAAGGACTTCCTTCCTTTAGAAAAAAAAACATCAGCTGAATTAACAATGCCTCTTGTAGAACGCAAGAAAAATATTCTTGCACTGGCAGAACCATCAGCAGCGGACTGTTCACAAACATCAGAGTTTCCATGAGACGTGAAAAGTCAGTTTACATGTTGGACATACCCTGGGGTTAAGTGCAGAAGGAGTTACATGTCGTGGGCAAAAAAGCATGGACTAGGTAAGGAATTTTGGAGTTAGTGCAACTATGAGCTGCAGACACAGTTTGGAGTGAGATGCCAAGAGATTTGAAGTGGTTAGCCAACATTTCTCTACTGATCACGTGTTTCACTCATTGTTGCTACAGTGGAAACCAAATCATCGGTGCATTTCAATAAAAACCACACATCACCACCCAAGAAGAGAACTTACTCACAGCAGGGACTCCATGGTTGCAAACGATAGATCTACTGTACTCTGCTAGTAGAGATTAAGGGAGGGAATCTCCCTAAATCTGGCAAAACCACAGCATTAGTCTCCAGCAGACCCACCTGAGATGGAATCACATAGTCAGCTACATCCCAAACTCGGGGCCCCAGGTTGGAAGTGTTGGTCATGGTGATGCCTTTCACCTTGGTAGTTACCGAGCTCACCACTGAATCAGTTTCTTGATAGCCTTTTTCCCACACGAACACCCAACTGCAAGGAAGAGGAAAACAGTTTCTCAATATTGTTGCTTCAGGTCTCGGAGAGAAAGAAACCTGACTTACAGATACCGTGTGTGTCTGAGTTTCTGCATTTTACTTTAATTAGATTTCTCGGTGCTTACCCAATCACCATGCAAGGGACAGAGAGCTGCCTTTCCAAGTCACCTGCTAACCCATTAGGACTTGGAAGATAATATTCTTTGCTACACCTCTAAAAGCACCCCAAAAGGCTGATTTTGAGCTGTTTTCCTGGGGCAGAAGGGGTTCTAAGGACAGAAATGGGAGGGTTTGCCTCCCCCTCCAGCATATACCTTAAAATTTCCCCTCAAAGGCTGAAAAATATGGGCTTTATCACTTCTCATGGTATCTCCAGAAAATCAGGAACTTGATTCCTGCAAGTGCTGGCCATTCAGAAATTCCCCACCCTTGGTTCAGAATGTGGCATGAACCCAGCCAAGTAGTGATTTCTTCATCAAAGTGTAGTTAAACAAACCATGTTTTAGCACAACCTGCCCAACAGACTGTAGACAGGATAGACTGGTCTGATCTAAACCCAATCCATCTAATTCTTGAGGAATTCCCTGGAGGCTCATACCACATTATCGTTAGGTTTTAGCTAGTATGAACTAGGTCACTGTGGTTTATAAACTATGATTGATGGCTGAGCCTACTATGTCTAACCAATTTTAGTTTCATCAATAAACCACAGTTATGTAGGCCACAGCTTAAAGCTGACCACAGGTTCTCTTGAGGTAAATCAGTGCCAAGTGGGCAAGACATCAGAAGGTTGCCTCATCTCATAAACAAGGAAAGCTAGATATTGAAAGCCTTTTTAAAATCTTCCAACTTTAAAAAAAAAAAACCTTTAAAATGGTTGTAGACAGACAATGCTATATAGACAGACAGACAAATAGCCTATCTTGTCTCTGTGTTTTTGCTGTTTCTCACCATCTATTTTAATGACAGTATTGTGTATTTTCCATTTAAGCATTGATAAGCTTGTGAGACTAGCCTTGCTGAATCTATGGATGCGGAGAAAGATATCAAGTTGTTACTTAAGAATTTTGTGGTGGTTTTAATTTTCTGTGACATTTATAGAAGTTATATTGGCTTTACAGCAAGGTACTTTCACTCCAAGTTCTGTCAGCTGGGGAAAAGATTTACAGTAATGAAAGCATCAGCACTGAACTGCGGAAAAAATATAAAAATGATGCAGTTCAAAAACCTGTCATTTCCAGCCAATCGGAGGCCGTCTGAGGAAACTGGGGCTGTGTGGGCTGGTGAAGAGCCAGTGAAACGGTGGAACCCCAAAGCTGGGCTACCAATCAGCTGTTTTGGCAGGAAAAAACGGGTAAAAAAGGGGGCAGCAGGCAAGGGCACCTGTCAGACAGCGAGGGGCAGAAGAGGCTGGAGCGGCAGCCCTGAGGGGTGCAGGAAGAGCGGAAGTCCCTCCACTCCTACCCGGCTGGGCAGCTGGGGCGGCCGAAGCCCCTCCAGGCCGAAACCCCGCAGAGGGGCCAAAGAGCTGAAGCCCCTCCGGAGGACAGAAGAGGCCGGAGCAGCAGCCCTGAGGGGCGAAGGAAGGAGTGGAAGCCGCTCTCCGCCTTCAAGAGGCGCCCCGGAGCCAGCTGGGCCTGAGGAGGGCGCTGGGGGGCAAAGGGGCTGAGCCCCCCTCAGAAGGACCAGCCCTGAGCCAGAGGAGGAGGAGGAGGAGGAGGAGGAAGGCCCAGGCCAACCTGCTCGGCCAGGGAGCCTGTGAGCCCCTCCTGGGGCAGAAGAGCCTCTCTGGGAAGGGGGTGCCGGGGGGACCCCCCTTGCTGCTGCTGCTGCCCTCAGCCTTGCTGGGAGGGAAGAAGCCCTGCTGGGTCTGGGAGTGTGTTTGGGGGGGGTCAAAAAGAAACGGGTTGGGAAGCACCTGGCACTGGAGGGGAGCCGGATCCTTTTGGAGTTTGGTGTAGGGCTAACCAGCTGGATATAAACTTTGATGAACGAACTCTCGGTCAGCTTCAGCCACCAAGCCAAAATCTACACCAGCATCCCTTAACTTTTCACTTTGAGCTGGCCTTTGAAATCAATAAAACAGCGTTAACTGTTTAACGCTGCCTGGAGAGGAAAACTGGGGGAAAATCCACGTCTCAAAAGTTTTAACCAGAAGCGAATGCTGGAGTTTCAAAGAAAGAAAGGGAAATAGGCTTGTGTGTTTTCTCCTGGGACAAGCCGAGAGCAGGCAAGCTGGGGTTCCTCTGCACACACATCGTTTGCGGGGTGGTGTGGGATGGAGATGAAAACGATGAAAAGCAAAATTGCTAATAGCATGGCAGGGAATGGAGATAAGAGGACCAGGGATTGTGGGGAGGGTTTTGCTAAGATTTACCAATCCAATCTGCTGTTGGGGATGAGGGGTTTCTCAAACCTGCTGCGAAGATCAAGCTGGCCCAAGAGTTAACTGTCCCAGACAGCTGTTCAACAGGTCAACTTTTTCCAGCTGTACAAAACTCATTTCTGGAGGGGTTATACGTAAATTCAAGGCAAATTAACAGATCCCCGGTCCCTAGGCGCCCTCTCTCGACCTCCTCCACGTCGGCTGGGAATGCTGGGTGTGGAAGTCCCAGCCCAGCTGGAGGGCGGTGGGTTGGGATAGGGTGTTTCTCTCTACGCCCGTCTGAAATGCAAAGTACTGTAGCTCCGAGGTGCCTCCGGCGAAGGCTCTAGTCCCTAAGAAGCGCGCCGAAACAAGCCCGTGCCTTACCCGATCACGTAGGCCAAAATAGCCAGCTGGACCACCCGGTTCATGAGACCCACTTTGCGGCTCTTGATGGACACGATCCGGGGGGTGTCGTACTCGAAAAGGAAGTTGTACAGGCCCCCGCAGTGCTTCCAGGGGGTGCCCATGGCTCCGGTTCCCTCGGCCGCAGCGACGGGACGAACCCCGCTCAGCAGGCGAGGATCAGCCGCCTCCTGCTGCTTCCCCGCATGTTGCAAGACGCCCAGCCGCGCCGGCTTTCCGGATCCCAGCCGAGGCGTGTCTTCGTTCT